GCGCTCAGGCGGGCGGCCGCAGCGGCCGAGCAGGGGCGGCTCGCTCGCAGCGTCTGCGTCGCCGGCATTCGCAGCCACGCCGCTGGCGCTGCACCGCATGTGTGCGCTCATACTTTGGTTCTGAAGCACGTACCATCCTAACGAATGCGAGTGAGTCCACTACATGTGTTAGATTGTGATAGTGGCGCTTGGGCGATGCATATGCTTGCTCCAGCACCCGCCACACTTCATCCTTCTTCTCGGGGCTGAGTGCTGCCCCGCTTCTCTGCCACCTGCAAGTGACGCGCGCATATGACATGCATCATGGGTTCAAGTCATGTCAATTGAGTGCCTTGGGGCGCCAGACAGACACCGTGTGGCGCTCTCCTCTCGACCCGCTCTTGCTGCCTGCTCGTCAAAACCCTCGCGCGCCACTCACGTGCCCGCAAAGGCGTCCGCTGCAGACATGTGTAAGCTGTTGCGTGGCAACGCCGGCAGCGGGGACTGGAGAGGCGCGTTCGGTTTGGGTGGCAGGAGGGGGCGTTGTGCTAGCGCATGGCGGAGCGGCAAACTCGTGCGCCGCTGCTTCAGCACACCCTGCATCCCAGCAATGTGGGTGCCCCCTGTTTACCTCCATCCAAGAATACAGTAATCCACGTCCTAAAGTCAACTAAGTCAACTAAGATAGCCCTCCATGCTAGTGCGAGCCTGATAGTTTACGATAGCCTGCTAGCCCGGGCCCCCCACTGATGCACTCCCTGATCTGGTCCGTGCTCGCGTCAAGCCTTTCCAACTGCTACAAAGTGATACAGTGCGCATGGGCGCAGCAGGTCGTCTGGGGTGCCCCGGAAGTCGCAAAAGAGACCATGTGTAAGCATACAGCGGGGCAATATGTCAATGTGTGTTATTCCTTTGAAGGCGTGCTTGCATACCACTTGTTGATGCTGTGCCCTTTGCAGCATACCGTATGGTAAAGAGCGTAGATGACTGATCTGGCCTAGCTGATCTGCTCAAGTGTGCCAGCACAATGGACGACGTTCTCAAGGAGCTGAGGATCAGAGATCGTATCATGGCCATGTAAGAATGACGGCCGGAGCCCCAGCTGCCGTGTGCGCAAGCAGTGGAGCGACCATGCCCCACTCCTGCTTGCGCTGCGTCGCACATAACAATCCTGCTGTGCACCCGCAGCTTCACGGAAACGGAGGCCGACTTTGCGACACCTGCAGAATTCGATAACTACCTCGAGATGGTGGAGGACATAAGTGCGTGCATAGCACCGCGCGGGGTGCTGGCGCCGCGCGCCACTCGGGACCGGGCTACAGCGCTGCTGCCGTCAATGGCAGCTTGGAAGCTCGGCATAGCTCGCCCAGCCGGCCTCTCGAACTGCAGCCGCCGCGCGACTCTGGCATTGCGCACAGATTGATGCACACGTCCTTTCAACCCTGCGGCTGCGTCTCCCTGTTGTTTCACCCAGTCTACAAGCTCACCAGCAACATTGACGTCATCGAAACGGAGGAGCAAGTGCGGGACTATGAGCGGCGAAGGGTGAGTAAAAAGATCATGAAACAGGAGGCGGTGCATGTTCATCTGGGAGCAGGTAGCATTGCATGCGCTTGCCTGATGCAACCCAAGCGATTGTTTTGGCGCCCTCTGCGTCGCAAAGCTAGCAGCCTTGGCCGCCGCATGCGCATGACGGTAGAGCAAATGCAACCACTGGCGCAAGCTGCACACACCCACGCAATGCCTGCAGGCTGAGAAGCAGGCGGAGGCCAGCGGCGCTGCCGCGGCAGCTGCGGCTTCGGCTCTGGTCTACAAGTGCGTAGTGCATTGTTGCTTTCGCTCCCGAGCCCAGGGATGCTCGGCTAGCTGCTGCAACAGGGCAGGGATCCTGCTTGCAGGTCGCAGGGCAGTGGTGCGCAAGGGCCCCTCAGAGGTGCATTCACACCCATCGACCCTGCCTTCTCACAATCAGGCCGCAGGCGGCCGGCGCGGTGGTGCAGCCAGTTCCCCTGGCGCAGGTGCAGCAGGACAACGATGGCAAGCTGCTGCCGCCGCAGCGCGGGCCGCTGTCGCGAGCGCAGCTGTTGGAAGCTGCGAAAGCCAGCGGCTGGTCGCCAGGTGCGTGTGCATGTGCGCACTAGCATTTTTGTGAGGGGGGGGTGTGGCCGCGCAGGGACCTGTGTGTGTGTATGTGCTCGTAACCACAGTCCTACTAGCGGGGCCCACAGGTTTGCAAGCAGTGTGTTCCATGCACCTCATGCCCTGTGCAGCAGTACGTGGCTGCTCGCACGCCTGGCTGCTGAAACGCCATTCCTTGCCGCATCCTCTTGTGCCCTTTCATGCAGACATTCCAAAACGCAGGGCGCTGCACGAAGCGTTCAGCACCATCTTTGTGTATTAGGTTTCCGAGAGGCTGGTGGTAAATTTTGACACACTTCAAGCCGCCTTCTGTGGCAATTGCTTGCTTGGACCTCATCATGGTTCGAGCATGTAATGTACAAAGCAAGAGGCCTTCTGGCAAGAGATCACAATAAAATAAGTTGGCGGTAGAATGCACCAGAGCCGGAGTGTATCATACACATGTCTGGTCACAGCCATGCCTACCTCTGCTGCTGCTATGAGCTGTGCGTGTGTGCGTCTGTTGCTCACCTTGCATTTCATCAACAGCCACACGCCAGCACAGCTGCCGTAGCTCGCGAGCTATGACGCGCTGCAGGTATGTGGCATGAGCTTTGCCTCGCTCAGAAGTGTCCTCATTGCACCGAGCAGTGATCAGCAGGGACACTCTTTGTCATGCAAATGACAACGGAGGTGCAAGTGACTCGGTGCTACAGCCCGCTGCCCAGCTCGTACAAGTGTGCCAGCAGCCTGACGTGGCATCTATTGGCCTCATCCTGATGTCTTCCCAGCACAGGTAGAAACAGGCACACGCTTGCCTGTCACTAGCTGCACAGCCATGACTGTAATATACAGCGCGTGAGGTGTGCACGCTGACTTGGCCACGCCACCTCTCACTTTGCCCTGTTGCAAGTGGTGCCACAGCCTTGATTGCTGCACGCCCGTGACTGGTGCAGCCGAAAAGGCAGCGCTGGCGACCAGCGCTGCGCTGGCTGGCGTTGGAAATGGTCCACGTACAGGACAGGAAATTCCCAAACCACACGTGGCGACGGGTGACAATGTTGATGTTGTGTGCACCCGTAAGGCCGGTCCAGAGGCTGTAGCATTCTTGATGCAGCCACATGGCTGTGTCTTGGATCGCTGTTGGGCATGCTGGGGGGTCAAGGCGGTGGCGCCTGGCACCCTGCTGTCAACAAGCTGCGTGGCAGTCGGCAAGGTGGTTGCTTACGATAGCTGTCCTAAATCATCACAACGTTCTCAGAATTGCAGCTTTGGCGGCATGCACGTGTCATGTATCGATGGTCGCGCAGAAACGGGGCGTTCAGGGCTGGGCCCAATGCACTGCACGTGCAGTGCAGAACTTCCGCATGCTCGTCACATGCGCGACATTCCGGCGACCGGTGCTCATGGTCACCTGTGACCCTGCCCATAGCAGTGTATCCCGCACGGACTGACAGCACTTATACCCAGAAAGGAACCTGGATTGAACTCTCCAACCCGCCAAGCCCTCAGCAAGCCTTACTAGCCGATCAGGCGCTTACAAGGTGAGAATTTGCCACGAAGTACACGTATATGTCGGCTGAGTCGCAATGAATGGCCCAGTGGCCCTACCACCGTGTGTTCAAAGCTCGTCATGCGGGAGACCGCGTCCCAGCGGTCGTGGGGCTGTAGACAATAATGCACACGTCAAGCCGTGTGTACCGACTTGCAGCGCAGTACGCCGTCGGCAGCCCACGGGGCACAGTGGCTGCCCGGCCGTGCTGCAGAGCAGCGCCGCACCGCGTCGTCAAGACGGCGCACCAATAGAGCGCTTCTCAGCTGACGGCCGCCGCAAACGCATCAGCGCAGGATGACAATCACCGCGGAGGCTAAGCCCACCATCGCATGGCTGGGGCTGGGCATCATGGGGCAGGTGGGAAGTTGGGCGCACACGCGTTGCAGCAGGCATACCGCTTCGCCCTTGGCATATCACCCATCCCTGCAGGCTTGGCTGCAAACCCCTGAAGTGTTTTTCTAATTGATCGCAGACAGCTGCAGCCTCACACCTGCCACGTCATGCAATAACTTCGTGTCCATCCTGCCTCCTTGCAATTTCTCAGGCCATGGCTGCCAACCTCCTGAAGTCTGGCCACTTCGCGCAGCTGCTGGTCTGGAACCGCAGCGCTGACAAGTGTGACGCGCTGGTGGCCGCCGGCGCCGTAGCGGTGGGATCGCCAGCAGAGGCAGTGGCACGCGCGGACATTGTGTTCGGCATGCTATCCGATCCCAAAGCGGCCCTTGAAGTGAGTGGCGCCAGTGGGATGGCTCAGGTTTGGGGTGACGCCTTTGTCGCTTTGGCACATTGTAACAGCCATGCCCAGCAGTGCACCTGCGGGCTGGCTGCGGGCAGACACAGTTGTAGACAAGCAACGACAGCAAGTGCCCAGGGCTGCGTGTTCGGCTTGCACATGTCAGCAAGCGAAGTGCCGCCTCGCCGCTTGGATCCGACACACAGGTGGCGCTCGGCAAGGATGGCGTGGTGTCTGCGATACAGCCGGGCAAAGCGTATGTTGACATGAGCACAGTGGATGAGGAGACCTCCACACAAATCGCTGCCGCGGGTGAGGACGCCGTTTGGCCACGCGTTTGCAGCGGCCGCCAGCACGCTCTGCAAGCCGCTGCCTGCAGGGCCATGCTCCATGCCCCAGTATGTTCAATGAAGGCCCGTTCCCACTGCGCCACCCCGATGCCGTTTCTGCTCCTGCCCACCTTGCCTGCGTCCTGCAGTGCGTGCCGCCGGCGGGCGCTTCCTGGAGGGCCCTGTCAGCGGCTCCAAGAAGCCGGCCATAGACGGGCAGCTCATCATCCTCGCAGCCGGCGACGAGTCGCTGTTCAAAGACTGCGCGGCAGCTTTTGACGTCATGGGCAAGCGCAGGTGCACGCACGCTGCGAGTGCGCTGGCAAACCGGGCGGAGCGAGGGCGGGGCAAGGGTGCAGGTGGTTGCGAGGGCCTGCTGTTGTTGTGCATCAATTACCACAAGACTGATTGCTGTGATCCGTGTCTTGGTGTTTGACCAACGTTGCATCTGAACTTGTACGCGGCCGTAGCACAATAGTTTGCCACCCGTAGCTCGCTTTCCTTTGTCTGCCTGCACGCGCACCATCATGCCACACACATGCATACATGCACGTGCATAAAGGCACGCACGTCTGCATGCACAACTCACTCGCCTACGCACACCCCTTGACCGCTGCAGCCTGTTCCTGGGTGATGTCGGCGCGGGGGCACGCATGAAGCTGGTGGTCAACGGCACTATGGGCGCCATCATGACAGCCTTTGCTGAGGGTAAGGGCCACGCCATACACCATTCCACCATGCACCATGGGCAGCCGGTTGCTGGCTCCTGCTTTGAATGCCGCCCTGCTTGCTTCAAGGGCACCAGGTGGGGTTGGCCGCCTGCAGCGTTGGGCGATCGGCTCGCGGATTGATGGTGGCGTGCCCCTGGTGCCGCTCTCGCCGACGCGCCCTCGCAGGCATGGCCCTCGCGGACAAGTCGGGGCTGCAGCAGTCTGACCTGCTTGAGGTGCTCGGCCTGGGCGCCATGGCGTCGCCCATGATTGCGCTCAAGGGGCCGGCGCTGGTCAGCCGCTCCTACCCGCCCGCGTTCAAGCTGGTCAGCCAGCAGAAGGACATGCGCCTCGTCTTGGCCCTGGGGTGGGTTGCGGCCAGGCAGGCAGTTGCTGTGTGTGCGGCTGGCGGATGTTTCTGGGATGCCAAGGTTGGAAAGGCGCACATGCAAAGCTTGGAGGGGCTCAGCAGCATTGGATCGCGGCGCCAAGTTCGCCACAAGCGAGCGCGGACTCCAAAGCAAAAGCCATGTTCTTTCAGACTCCTGCTTCTGGGCCCGGGCTTGATCACAGTGACCTCTCATCCTTCACCGCTGCCGCCGCTCGCACCTGCTGCCAATGCAGAGACGCCCTTGACCAGCCCTTGCCGGTTATGGCCGCCGCCAACGAGCAGTTCAAGAAGGCCAAGGCCTTGGGCCTGGGGGAGAGCGACTTTGCCGCTGTCTACGAGGCGGCTGTCCACGGGGCCGGTGGCGGCAGCGGCGGCCAGGCGTGAGCATGAGCGGCAGCTGACGCCTCTGCTTGTGTGTACCTAGGTGCTCCAGCACGTGCAGCAACGCAGGTCCAGCGCGGGCAGGGTTCGTGCACATTGCACGTCGTGCGTGGTCAACCTTGCAGCTGAATTTTGTTTGGCTGCGCCGCCCCAGTTGAGTGGAGAGGTGCTGATACACATTCAAGGTTGGTCGGCCCTGCAGCCTGTAGACTCTTCTGCTTGCACGCAGCCTGGGAGTTCCACACACTGCCCATGAGCCAATCGGCACCCCAATCCTTGAGTGCCATGGAGTGAGAGCTTGACTGCACTCTTACGCATCCTGGTTTGGCCAAAGAGACAACCACTCGGCTTTGCTCCCTCAACGCACAACAGTTTGTTGAAAACAACCTCTTGCTTCACAATATTTTGCCATCGTACCTTGCAACAACGCCATCAACTGCAGACATGCTCCTGTAATGCGGATTGCAAATGTCAGTCCTGAAGGTAATTCTTGTACTGCAAGTTTGGTGCCGGGTAAACAGGTGACACACAGTAATCAACACGAAATAGCAGCCTAGCGCGTGCGAATGTCTCTGCACCCCCTGTATCGTTGTCTGATGTTTGTGCCTGCTTTTTCGTGCACACAAGCTGGGTCAAACTGCCAACGTAGGTAGTGATCTGAGGTCAACAGCGTCTGAGAGATGACTGAATCGGTGATCTGTACAACTATGATTACGCCTCATACCGTTATGTTAAGCATGGCTTAGTAAAGTGTCAGGGGGGCGATGGCGGAGCACGCGCTCGGGCTAGCGCCCCTTCAGGGGCAGCGGAAAGGCATTCAGGTGATTTGCCCGTTTTTAACTTGCATATACACCGTGTTTCTTGCGCACACGGCTGATCTCCAATTCTCGCGGTCACGATGGTGTCGCCCCGCGTAGCCTTCTGCACCTGGAGCGCTGGTTCAAGCCTCAGATATGAAGCCACCAAATCAGCTTCCCAGCATGATGCGGACATCACTGGACCTGGTGCCGACGAGCAAGGCGTCTGCTGCTCAAACTGCAGGTTTGCGTCGGGTGTCATCGCAACAGCGTTTGTCACCGGCACACCACTGTTTCTTATACCTGTACTGTATGCATGCCTATTGACACCATACTTGCACTGAATCAATTGCTGCCATGCGCAGCGCCAACCGCTGGCGTGATTCGGCACGGTGCATATGGATGCGGCGTGGAGGGCGGCGGAGACACACGCGGCGGCGCTGGGCCCCATGCCAGCGGCGCCACCCAGCCCCATTCGCACCACCTGCCAAGGTGAGCAGCATGCAAAGCTGTTGTGAAGTCGCTGCTGCAGAGGCAGTGACGGATGGTGACGGTGAGGTTGGGCGGCGGCGCCGTGCAGCAGATGTCATGTGCTTTGGCTTGGCCGCATGAGGAACAGCAACATGGCGATAAAAGTTGCATGGCTTCGGCATGTCTGATTCGAGGCCGGTGGCCGGTACCGTACTGCAGGCTGGAAGAAGTCCCATCCGCATCGCACGCCAGCAGCCCGCCCGCTCGGCCCGCGCAGCGACGTACCCACAGCCCACAGCGCGCTACAGATGGCCTCGCGAGGCCGCTCCGCAGCCCGCTGCCTCCGTCGCCTCGGACACTCTTGGCAGCAGGCAGCACTCAGACTGGTGATGATCCCTGCCAGCTGCAGCAGCAGCAGCAGCTGGCTCAAAGGAGGCCTGATCATGCGCCATCCGCTTCTATCGGACCTCCCAAGGCCCTGGCGGGGGCAGCTGAGGTGCCACCCGCGGGCGTCCTGCCTGGCGCTTTGATGTCAAAGGCAACGGGGATCCTTGAGGCATCAGAGCAGCAGCAGCAGCAGCAGCCGGCCAGGGGCCTGCCGGTCGGTCAACCTGTCAGGCTGTCCGCGGGACGCAGGCTCACAGGCGGCCAGCAAGCGGCGCCAGCTGGGACGGATGACCAATGCCTGCAGTGGCCCCTAGATCCAGCAGCGGAGCGGTATTATTGGCACCCGGCCGCCGCGCCGGCGGGGCATCCAACCGGGGGTGCCAAGGCGGCAGCCGCCCCAGAGGTGACCCCGGCGGCAGCTGGGTCCAGCAGCACCACGCCCACCTGTGAGGTGCGAAGCTGCGGCGTGCTCTTGGGGTAGTCGTGCGCAGGGGCAGGCCGTATGTGCCGGCTTTGTGGTTTCTCATGCAAATCTAGTATACATACCTCAACAGCAAGCGTGGACGGCTGCGACGCACAGTCACCTGCCACCTGCCCTCTTTCACACTCACCCGGCTCTGCCATGGCAGTTTGAGCTGTCAATGGAGGCCCTGAGCGGTGGCGTGGGCGGCGGCGGGGCTTACCCAGTGGGCGCGTCCCATTCCGCGCCGCGACGCACGCTGCTGATGCGGCTGCCGCCTGGCGCAGAGGCTTACAAAGGTCAGGGGCACGCTTGCTCTTGAGGGGACTGCGCAACCGTGCGCGCTGCGTCTTCACACGTCATACGTTCGAATGCAGTTTGGGGGTGAACATAAGCTGACAAAGCATGCACCCATCATGCCGCCGGGGAGCCGGAACCACCCCTCCACAAAACACACAAACACCCCGCAGCTGCTGTGCCCGCCCTGTTGGAGGACCCGTCCGGCCGCGCCTGCCTGCTGGTCCTGCCGTCAGACCGCCCCTCTACGCGCGCCGAGGCCGCCGCCGTCGAGGCGCTGCTGTGCGAGGTGCTGCGGGACCCCCAGGCCGCCGCGCGGCGCGCGTGCGAGTGGCGCGCGGGCGCGCTGTCGGGCGCGTGCTCGGGGTCGCTTGCGGCGCTGCTGGCGGCAATGAAAGGCGACGGCGGCAGCGGCGGCGGGCAGGGCGGGATGGGGCGCTGGCGATTCAAGGAGGTTGGCAGGATGAGCCTGACAGGTGCGCTTGCGCGCCCTCGCGGCCGGGCGGCCGTGCCTGCACGCACCGACGACAATGCCTTGATGCGGGCAGCAGCACCTGGCGCGCCGCCCAGCGGCTTGAGTCAGATGGCGGCGACGCGTCTTGCGTCCTTCTCGCCGTAAGACGCAAGTCATACTGTCTATTTCATGCACCCATGGGCCCGCTGTCCAGGGCAGATATTGGGCCACGGCATTGAGGAGGCGTTCCGCAACCTCCTCGTCGCGGATGCCGCCGGAGAAGCCGCCGAGAAGCTGCTGTGCCTGGTGGACGCGAAGGGCGCCGTCGCCACTGCTGGGGCTGCGGCGGCTGTCGCCGCGGACGCCGCCGCGGCGGCCGCGGACGGCGCGCTTGCAGGCGAGCAGGCGCCGCGCGCGGTCGGCGACGCGGCGTCCGCGTCCGCGGCGGCGCTGCGGGCGGCTTGCGCCACCCCCAAGCCGCCGGAGCCGCCGGGCGGCGGCGCCGCCTCGCGGCTGTCGCAGCAGGCGTCGGGGGCGCGGC